AGATTATGTTTGCGTGCCATATAATGTTGTATTGACCCTCAGAACTGTGAGAAAGACTGACAAAGCCCCAGCAATTCCCCTGGATGGATTCTCTTCTCACATACTCCAAGAGCAGTTCTTGGAATATCAGTGTAGGTTATCCTCTAGATCCTTGAGCTGAAAGCACAGCATATTTTTTTTCAGATGATTTGAAGTGGTTTTCATTTCATTGTTTTGCCTCTGTAACAGTGTTTAACCATCTAATCTGAAGATTAGAAGTGATTTTTCTCTAAGCTTTAGCCTAAATGTTGTACTAAAGAGGGACAGGTGCTTTCTTTCACTGTCTTGTGACCCCCACATTCGTGTCAATGTGTTAGATTTCTCCACCTGTGGTGTTGATATCTGTCTCAGTTGACATCACCATGCAGTAATAATGAGATGGTTGGATGGTGGCATGTGTGTTAGTATGTGAGTGTGGATGGTCACATGACTGGTCAAGTTACAGGTGTCAAGAGAATATGACAAAGTAACAATGCAACTTAAAATAAAAGGAAATTGCATTGTTGGGTGATTCCATAACTGGTTGCAAGTTATCCCTAAACTCTTAAACCTAAAGTTACACTCTTAAAAATGAGACTTCATTTTTCGTCATTTCACTTAGATCATTAACTTAATGATGCACCGATCTGACACTACCAATACTGACTGGAACAGGTATCAGCCAGACTTAATCGACCCGCTATCACTGTTTTTTTTTTTAAACACAATTGCTCTAATGTGTCGTTGTGTTTTTATGAAAGGAACTGAATGCACAACATACAGTTGTATGCAATGTTTGGGCACCGTGGCCATATTACGTATTTTGTTGATTTTTAAAGAAAAAAAGTAAGCACAACCTTTGCAGCAAACTGTTAAAATTTTCAAAAATCTTTTAACAAATAACATTTGTTCGCAAATGTGAATGCACAGTTATTTTAGATTTGCTAGGGTTAGCGATTGTCTCATTTGTATTAGTGGTGCTGAGGTAAATCACCCAACATAACTTAAAAAGTAGAAAAAGAATAAATTAGAAATTGTGGCATGTGCAGAAGTTTGTCAGAGCATAATAACCCAGTCAATTCTCTAACTCCGCAAACCTTGTGCTAACCCTCAGCAACTATGGGTTCATCTAAGTAGCTGGCTGATGGTCTCAAAATGAAACTAATTGATGCCTACAGAGCAGGGGAAGGCTATAAAAAGTTAACGTGCTTTCAGCTTTTCCTCTGTCTGAAATGTCATTAAGAAATTTCAGTTAAAGGGAAAAGTAAATGTTAAGGCAAGATCTGTAAGACCAAAAAAACTCTCCAATAGAACTTTTGTGAACTGGCCGGAAAGGCAAAGCAAAACCCCCATATGACAGCAAAGGACCTGCAGGAAGGTTTAGTCGACACAAGTTATGGTGCACTGTTCTAGTATGCTGTGTTTCTTGAACAAACCTGATCTCCGTTGAAGAGCGATCAGAAGGAAACTTTACCTGCAACCTCATAACAAAAATCAATGTCTGAAGTGTGCAAAGCAACATGTAGATAAGCCAGAGGCATTTTGGAAACACATGCTGTGGACTGGCGAGGCAAAATTGGAATTCTTTAGCTACAATCACCAAAGTCATATTTGGAGAAAAAAGCTGAATTTGAAGAACACCTTGGCAAATGTTAAGCAATAGCATGGATCTGCTATGTTTTGGGGTTTTTTTCTTCTGGTGGAAATCCAGAAAATCAGTATTGTCTCACATGATGGGTAAAATTAATCCTGTGTAAGTACAACAAAGATCAGTCGCATACATGTGATAGATGTGTGCATGTGTGTACGTCATTCAGATATATTGTGAAGCTGCTTCTGTTTTTTTTCCTCCACAGTTAAAATAACAATTTTTGTTACACTTATTGAGATTAATACTTTTAGAAGCGTTTTATGTTGTTTTTAATCTTGGTGCTAAGAAAATGCAATTTGTGCCACAACAGCATCAGTACTGCATGTTAAGTTTATGTACAGCCATGAATGTACACTATATGGACAAAAGTATTGGGACACACTTCTAATTATTGAATTCAGGTGTTTCATTCAGTCCCATTGCCACAGGTGAATTAAATCAAGCACCTAGCCATCCAGTCTGCCTTTAGAAACATTTGTGAATAGGTCGTTCTAAAGAGCTCACTGAATTCGAGCGTGGTACTGTAATAGGGACGCCACTGTTGCAACAAGATAGTTCGTGAAATTTCTTCCCTCCTAGATATTCCACGATTAACTGTGAGTGGTATTATTGAAAAGTGGAAGCGTTTAAGGAACCATAGCAACTGAGCTGTGGTAAAGCAAGGTCCATAAAGACTTGGTTGGGTGTCCATTTCCTGATTTGTGCAGGTCTACAGCCTTTTGTCACACATCATTGCTGTATTATCTAGTCTTTCTCATTGTGATGGTTGACTAAGGGAATTTGACCTGTGTGTCACCTCATATTTCTACCTCAGTGAAACAGGAAGTCATGGCTGATCATTTGTTCCTAGTCACTCAAGTGAACTATATAAAATATGATCAGGAATATACTTTAGTTAGATTTCACTCAATAGCATTTCCAGGGGTGTCAATGATTTTGGCACACAGATTTGAGAAAAATATTTATTTCATTTAGTTTTTTTTTCATTTAAAAGGTTAGATTTTTGTTAGTATTTTGAATTAAAGATAAAAAGGATGAGTTATAAAGGCAAATGTTTTTACAGCCCAGTTGGCTCATGTTTACCAGGGGTGCCAATGTAGGCAAAGTTTGCCTGCAACCATAAAAAGAAATTGGACGGATATTGGATTGGATTGCATTAAATCATAAATATGCTGTCAGTTCGATTCAGGTAACAATATGGGTGGTGTTTCTCCAGAATATCTTGTCTTATGTTTGGATCGTCAGGCTGAATGGCTTGTTCATGATTCCTGTAATTGCATTCATCCATTTTCAAAACATGTCCAAAATAAGATTCAGTTTGATTATCTCGTCCTTGAGTGAGTTGCTAGGCTTGATTTTTGCGAGGATCCATTCATATGTTTTCTTTGCTGCTCATGTTGTTCTTAAAAGTCTTCACCCACCTCCAAAGACATCAACATTTTTTTCCATCTTGCTTGTTTATTGTCCAACTTTCACTTCTTTAAAGAGTCACAGAGAAGACCATTGCATGGACCAATCTTCAAGTTCCAATCTTCGCTTGTAGAGCCCTTCGTCTTTGTTCTGCCGAGTGCCAGTCTGTGTCGTATTTCTTGAGTGCTGTGTCCCGAACTTTTTGCATTTATTCTTTAGGCCATATATAAATACAGCTTTTTTTCCTGTTTATTACATTCATTATTTAAAAATATGTCTGCCTGTATTTTATTTATTAATTTGTTTGCTTATTCAGCTGGTACAGAACTCAATAATAATCTCAAATGATCAGAAATCTGTGTGTGTGTATTAATTTGTCCTGAATGCTGCACATAGTTGTTTGAGCTTGCAGTTTGCATTGATGCATTTTGTAATGTCAAACACCCACGAGTCCTGCAACACTTTACAAAATGCATTGTTCCTCTGGATTTGTATTAGGCTTAATGCTGCATTCAGGTTAGTTTTTATTGAATATGTTTTAGATGCTGGATGATTTTGCTTAGCATCCATTTTGATAGGCTGTTTAAATATCAAAATTAGAACTGTAGTGTAATGTAAGTTGGCTGTATTGGTCAATAATGCTGGACGGTGTAATGCAACAAAAAAGGGATGAGTCTTGTTTGCAATGACTCTGGGTAGCGCACTATGCAAATACATTTTTTTATGCAAATGAAGTTATTTTAAGAATGTGAAAACTTGTGCGATTTACATCCATGGTTGCGAGACTGTAACATTGGCAAAAAATGTCTTGTGGGTAAACCTTGACCCTTACAAGTAGTTAGAAAACATTGGACCAACTTAGCTATGCTCTGCTTGAAATGAGAGCACTGATTGGACAAAAATAAGATGAACAAAATAAACCATGACGTTACATTTTGCTATCAGGAGACTTTATCAGATGGTCAGCGATTATGGCTAGCCCACTCAATTATGTGACGCAAATAATATTAGTTTTCGTTCTACCACCGGCAAGATTAAAACTAATTCTCCTAACTGCATTTTTGTTTGTTTTGGCAACCGTTTTAGTTGCAGCCTGCTTCGCTGTCTGACTGAATCCGCAGTGGGGATTTGACCTAATTAAAGGGAATGCCAGATGACCCTATGAGTCAGCAAATAATATTGAAAGAGAGCAAAGTTGTAGTGTTGTATTAGATTCTTAATTGCAAATGCCGTTTTGTCTGGAACTGGGCTTAAAGTAGACAAAACGTGTTTTGTGAGTCTTTCCAGTGCGCCTATGACAAATTAAAGGCCTGCTCTCTGCTGTGGCCTTTTTGTTCTTTTGTGTACTATTTGCATTCTCTGTCTCTCTCTCTCTCTCTCTCTCTCTCTCTCTCTCTCTCTCTCTCTCTCTCTCTCTCTCTCCAGTTGAATGTCACGTTTTGTTTTAAGTGAATAGACATTTGTCCTCACAGTGTTTTCCTAACCGGCCTCCATCTTTGGTGCATGTGGCTAAGCTTTGTGTATGTGGCGTAGGCCGAGTTTAACTAACACTGTTTTTCTGCAAATGCATCTGGTTGAGCAGGTATGTGTGTGTGTGTGCACAAATGATGGTGATCGCACTGTATTACTCAGTTTTAAAGTATTGATTCAAATCTATTGTCCTGCTGAATCAGCAGGGATTAGTTGGCAGTTTTCTTGATGATGATGCATATTTTCAATTCTCTGACTGCTCTCTTTTACAGGGAGAAACAGAGCCTGATGGACACACCCACTTATATACAGTGTCTCCCACACTTTTCTATTCATTTAATGTTACTTCATTAGAAAAATCTTTTAAATATAACATAAAAAAAACGTATAACACCCACCCCCCCCCACACCACTTGTGGCCTACACTGAGCTGAGTGTGTTGTCTTCGCAGATGACGGTATGATGATCTGATGGAGCTGATCAGAGAAGAGGTGCCTCTTTATGTGAGTATCAGGAACTTCTTTACTTTTCTTCAATTCCATTTTAAGCCTAGGGCCTGATGGAAGGGTAATGTGAAAAGGTGGAAATAATTAAGAACAGAGGATTTGCTTGAATATATAAATGTAAACAGTGAAAGTGAGTAAATAAATTTGCTTGACTTCATCAATTTCTCAATTCATGGATTTGTACAACTGTTTACTTGTATGTTTTCTAGATGTTTATTCTCTCATGCTCGCTCGCTCGCTCTCTCTCTCTCTCTCTCTCTCACTCTCGCTCACTCCGCTCTCTCTCTCTCTCTCTCGCTCGCTCTCTCTCTCTCTCTCTCTCTCTCTCTCTCTCTCTCCCTCTCTCTCTCTCTCTCTCTCTCTCGCTCTCTCTCTCTCTCTCTCTCTCTCTCTCTCTCTCTCTCTCTCTCTCTGTCTCTCGCTCGCTCGCTCGCTCCCTCTCTCTCTCTCGCTCGCTCCCTCTCTCTCTCTCTCTCGCTCGCTCCCTCTCTCTCTCTCTCGCTCGCTCTCTCGCTCGCTCCCTCTCTCGCTCGCTCCCTCTCTCTCTCTCTCTCTCGCTCGCTCCCTCTCTCTCTCTCTCGCTCGCTCCCTCTCTCTCTCTCTCTCTCGCTTGCTCCCCCTCTCTCTCTCTCGCTCGCTCACTCGCTCTCTCGCTCTCCTCGCTCGCTCGCTCTCTCATGTGAAATTCTACCCTTTTCAGTCTTTTGTTTCTTTGTTCTCCCGGGATCTGTCCTTTCATTCCGTCTGCTTGCCAAATGACAGCACTCATTTATTTGAGGGTTTTACCTGTGTGTGTGTGTGTGTGTGTGTGTGTGTGTGTGTGTGTGTGTGTGTTATAAGGACAGAAAGGCAAATTCTCATGAATAATATAATTGTTGTTTCATACATTAATGAAGTAATAGAAAAGTGATTGATGTATGCTGACAGTACACCCTTTAAATTGCACTGGGACAGGCTAAGATTGTCACAATACCAGATCTTTGACTTTGAAATAGTGCTGGGCGATACATTGTTTATACCAGTAGCCTGTGATCTTGCTTTTCAGTTTTGTTTTGCAATATATTGCAGATAATGAGCATTACATCAATGATATACTGCCCATTATAAGTGGCATTCCTGTTGCTAAGCAGTTTATTTTTAATTTTTACATTTTATTTTGTGAAATACGCTCATGATATCCATGATCTCACTGCAGATTTTCAGTGTTTCAGATTGGTTTGAAAGAACAAAATCTAAGGCTGGCCTAAGTAATATGAGTAATCTAAGTAACTTGAAAACTCGAGTATCCATTTGTTACATTGGGGTTTGTTGCCTTGTTTAGAGTTTGGAGCTTTCTCTTTAACATTCGAATTCTAGAACACTGTGAGTTCCTGACAATTCAGAGTTAGAGGCTTCAGCAGTGTAGACATATTTATCACTGTGTTGAACAAAACATTTTATGATAAACCAGGAGAAAATGGCACTTGCTTACATAGTCACTCATATACTAGGCTATAAAAGTCATGTCATACCCAGCTACAGCTTAGCCACAGCCACAGCCACAGCCACAGCCACACTCCCCCTACAGTTTTATAGTGTCACCCCGCTTCTTACTGGCAATGTTTAACCAGTGAGAAGTAGCCAAATACATGTAAATTTTATAAAGCTTGGCTATAGTATTGACTGTTGAATGACATTCAACTGAAGAAGCATTCTCAGTGACCAGCTTATCCATTGTGAAGCTGAGAGCCAGAGGCCAGCTAATCAGTTTAGGTGATTGATATGAGATACAGACAGTTTTAAATCTAAATTTAGTATAAAACACTGAGAACTTGGTGAGTTATCTCATTTCTGAATGAGATTTATTTCCGTCTGTCAATGTTGTTTCACTTGCGAGTGAACTAGCCTTGCACCACTAAGTTAGCAGTCGAATATGAATTCAGTAAATCAGCTAAAATAACTATGAAAATGTGTCACTAAACAAAGATTTTATAAGATTTACGTCTTGAACTTCGGCATCATCGCTACTGTCAAGGTAAGGGAAAATCCAGTCAGCACCTCTGTCTCTTAGCCTCTTTGGGATGTCCATCACAAAAAGGGATGTAGAAATGTGTTACTGTTTGTTAAAAATTGAAAACTGGAATATTTTCATAACAAAAAACTATGAACATGCTTCAAATTATGGTTAATTATTAAATAGAAATATTGGTTTAATGGTAGTACTCAGGTCCTCCAGTAGTACTCCAACGAGTATTTAAAGCCTGTGAAATGCTGTTCAGGCCAGCCCTAACCAAATACATTAAACAGTAAGCTTCCTTTCTGGAAATGTGCTTTCAGCCTGGTTATCATTTACAGTACTCTGTGAGTTTCCCTTTGCTGTAATTTTAAGAGAAGAAAATGGGACAAAATGGTCCATTTCAGTTTCTTTTAGCATAGAGTAGCAGCACTCAGGAAGCACTCCTTTATCCCGTATCACCCAGCTGTAGTAGTAAAGTTCTTTATACCAAAATAATACTATGGCACAGAAAAATATTTTTTAGCTAACTAACTCAGCTAAAAGATGATAGTTGACTTTTCAGCTCTTTGTAGAACGGAAAACTTAATTTGAAGATAATGTCAGCAAAGTTGGAGTTGCCTGCTTTGTAGTTGTGGGACTTATAAAACTTTTTACATGCTGCTTTTATTGTGTCAGTTGGCTGCCATGTCATTTCATCTGGATATGTTCATCAGTGATGCCCAGACCTTTAGGCTTGGACTAAAAGTTCTACATCAAACCTTTGCATGGTGTAGAGGATCTTTTTAATGTGTTCATCACCCTTGCACATCTTCTTTTATCTAAATGGGTCTTTTTAAAGCACCATCAATTGGAAGACTGTTTACGGGAACTAAAAATGCTTCTTCTTTGGCCTCAAGGACCCCTTTTTGGTACTTTTACTTTGAAGAGTGCAGAGTCATATCAGGACTTAGTCAGTTAAATACTGTAAATGATAAATGTTCATATATCTACATTTATAATAGTGATGAATATAGACATTGCAGACCCTTTCCATTGTGTTCTTTATACTAACTTAACAGGAGGCTTTCTTAACTGATTAAATTGATTGTTTCCATCCTTGAAAGCTCCCATCTGTAATCAGCCGATAGCTGAACAAGAGAAAGCTTCAGTCCAGCTCCGTGGCCTCGGTGCAGAAGAACAGCAGTGTGCAAGGTGTCTGGTGGGTCTATTAGTCTGTGTGGAAGAAAGTGTTATTGCAACTGGATATGTTCAGGGTTTATGGCAGACTCACATAATGTCAACTCACAACTCATGTCTCAATAGACAAATAACCTCATTCACTGGAGCACTTTGTGTGTGTGAGTGTATGTGTGTGCATGTCAGTGTGAAAAATGGTCAGTCTATGCTGTGTTAAATGCTTTCAGGTGTCTTTGAGTTTTCAGTAGGTCAAGTGTTTCCTTCTTTTTCCCCCTTATGCTTTAGGCCTGTGTGGTAAGGTTGAGCTGTTCTGTGTTCACTGAAGTGAAGGACTTGTTCTTTAGTTGGAATATTTTTTTTTTTTAATATACCTGTTAAATTTGCATAGTTTAATGCGTGCTGGATGGCTTACCTCATACATATTGTGGGCCAACCGGTCTACATCCTTATGTGACTTAATTTTTGGCTGGGTATCATAATTAAAAGTTTATTTTTGGTGGAAGGCTCAACCTTTTGACCCCCCCGTGTAGGGCTGGATGATTTGAGGAAAATATCTAATTGCGATTTTGTCTGCGATTTAAATTGCAATTATTTTTATTGTTATTTTGGCCAAGAACACCAGCACAAGGTTACAAGGACAATAAGGAGAGATAGGAGGTAGTCTAAAAATAACATCCAGAGATCTACAAGCCTCCGTAGCTGTACCTAGAGTGGTGTTGCTTAGATCAACAATAAGAACCCTGATGAAACCCATGCAAGAGTCACCAGGAAGAGAAAAGTACAAAACTGCCTGTCTGAGGTTTGCCAGAAACTTACTGGACAAGCCTGAAGAGTTCTGCATGTCTTCTGGTTGGATGAGTCCAAAAACGCTTTGGGCACAACAAGAGGACCCATGTTTGGTGAAAAGCTAACACAGCTACCACCAACAAAGCCTAATTCTTGCTGTAAAGCATGGTGGTGGCAGTGTCCTTGAATGGGGCTGTTGTTCTTACCCTGGTCCTGGACAACAAGACATCACTGAAGGTATCATGACTTCTGAGTGATTGAAGAATGTCAGGTCATCAGTTTGGAAACTCAGGATGGGCAGAGAGTGGGTGTTTCAACAGGACAGTGATCCTAACTCCATTAGAGAATGGCTTTGGAAGGTTCTATGTAATGGATTGTCAAGCCAGAGCCATGACCTGAATCCCATTGAGATTCTATGGCAAGAACTGAAGAGGGCTGTTTATGCAAATCACCCTTCAATCCTTACAGAGCTAGTGGATTTTTGTAAAGAAGAGTGGGAGAAAATCCCTCCAGAAAGACGTCATACTGATTTGGATTACTGAATATAGGAGGAAATGTGTGAAGTTATTGCTGCTGGAAGTGATAATCATGCATTACTGAATGTAAAGGGTTCAAGTATTTTGCACAGAAGAATATCTGGTTAAATATCACAGTCTAAAAACCTATGAGTTCAAATCACTTTTTATGTATCGGGACATCTTTATTTAGGATATTCCTTCTATCAATAAGAATTCAAGTTCACATTGAAGACTTCAAACCCTCCACAAATCAGGAGGCTGAACATTGGGCCATCCCATCTGTATAGGCTGGGCTGATGTCAAGAATAATGACCACATTGAAGTGTAATGATAACAGTATATGGAACAATACATGGCTATGACAAAAATCACCTATACATGAGGCGTTTGCATTCTAACTAATTTTGTTATTTGTGTATACCTAAGTCAATTATTGTATTTTTAGTTACTGCAGGGAAGAAATAAACAGTGCCAAAAAACTGATCTTTTGTTCTCTGTAGATGATGTGCCAACATGATAGT